CATTTCCCCAGTCTCCACCCCCAAGGCTCTCTGGGCAGAGTTTGCCCTCACCACCTGCGTCTTCCTGCCCCCAGCACGCCGCTCAGCTGGGCGCTGACCTTGTCTGGGCCTGACCCGGCCTGCCCCACTCCCTCCTTCACTCTACAAATTGGCTTGACAATTTTCAGGTGCGAAACCTGCCCGCGGGTGAGTCAGCCTAGGTGGAAATGTCAGTGAAGTGACATTTGCAGTTGCAGTGAAGGAGTGTTTTCCACTTTACAACAAAGCGGGGTAAAAATATTGTCTCCCCAAAACCAAACCAGAAACCCCCCAACAACATGGGGTGACCTGGGCAGGCTGGGCTGCCCCCTCTCTGAGTGTAGCTGCCTCTCTTCTTGCTACCTAATCCCATTTTCTGACACCTGCTTTGCTTTAATCTCATGCATGTCTCGAATTTCTTAGTTCCTACCTTTTCTTTTTTAAATTTGAAGATTTATTTATTTATTTATTTGACACAGAGAGAGATAGTGAGAGAGAGAGCACAAGCAGGGGGAGCGGCAGGCAGAGGGAGAGAGAGAAGCAGGCTCCCTGGGGAGCAAGGAGCCCAATGTGAGGCTCAATCCCAGGGTCCTGGGATCATGACCTGAGCTGAAGGCAGTTGCTTAATCGACTGAGCCATCCAGGCGCCCTGCTACCTTTTCTTTCAATCTATCAGCAGGCTTCAATTCTGGGCCGGGCCTACCAAAACCTCACAATGGGTCGCCCCCGCTTCTAGCCATCTGATCTAAGCTGGTCTTCCTACTTACTTATTTCATAGCACCTTGTAAATACTTAGATATGCTGGCAAGCTGTTGGAGCTTCTGTTTTCACATTTGTAAAGTGGGAGTAATTCTGGCGCTTGCCCTATAGAGTTGCTATAAGGATTAAATGAATTTATACTTGGAACCATTCTCAGCACCTCGTAGACACCCAAATATTATCATTCCTGCCACTGGCACTAACTGTAAATATTTATTCATTTATGTATCAGTTGGCTGGTTTCTTGAGCATCTTCTGCTATTGTAATAGAAGCTCATTGCTTCACAGATTTCTTTCTACTTGCTCCCTTCTGCATCCCCAACACTTAAAACAGTGACTGCTTAGAGGAGATTCTCAATACATAATAGTTAAATGAAATTATTTCTGTAAAATACTAATCAGGCATGTGTTCACAGTATATGTGCATATGGACAAAGAATATCTGCAAGAAAAGAAACAGTATTTATTGTATGATCTCTTGTTATAAAAATATATATGCATATTCATAGAAAAAAATGAAAAGAGAAACACCAATTTGATTATTTTTCTTAATGCCAGCCTTTGAAATAAGGGGTAGATTTTGTGTTTTTTCTTAACATTTTCTTTTTGAAAAATTCACCAGGAAATATCTGGACTTACTTAAAAACAGAAATAGAATAGAAATAGCCACCTGATTTTATCTCTTACTTGTTAAGAATAGAAATTTCTAGAGATTCTGCTTTATTAAGTCTAGAGTGAGGTCCAAGAATCTCTATTTCTACAAGTGCCCAGCAGATTCTCATGATCAAGTGAATTTGGCTTCTGGAAAAAGTCCATGAGTAAGGGAACAGATCTGTTTATCCCTGTGGAGGTTAGGGTCAGCCCAGAGGAGTCTTATTTTTTTTTTTTTTAAGATTTATTTATTTATTTTAGAGAGAGAGAGAGAGAGAGCATGGGAGGAGGGGCAGAGGAAGAGGGACGACAGAGAATCCCAGGCAGGCTCCGTGCTGAGCACAGAGCCTGATACGGGGATCAATTTCACCACCCCGTGATCATGACCTGAGCTGAAACCAAGAGTTGGTCACTCAACCGACTGCACCACCCAGGCAACCCTAGAGGAGTCCTATCTTAAAAGGTCTCTAAACTGGGGGGTTGATTAAGGAAAAGTTGATTAAAGCAAGAAAAATTTTGCTATCTTCCCCAAGGGTTGGCCTTCTTCATCTGAAGGAAATGAGTGAGCTTTCTTTCCCTACACAGTGGGGTCAGGTCCCTCCCTGCTTCAAGGAGGTGCCATGTTGGACATGTCCACCATGGGGACCAGGATTACATGGTCAGCAGGAGGTGAGACTGCTACTGAAGAGAATGAGACCATCAGATTATTGGTAGCATTCCAGGCACGTGTATCATATCCAGAAAACTAGGACCCTGTTCACCACTCTATCCCAGAGCTCAACAGAGTGCCTGTCACATGCTAGGTCCCCAGGAAATACCTGCCAAGTTAATAAGTGATTATGAATTTGCCTGCTCATTTACAACACCATAAACCTGTGATTTTCTTTAACATCAAGTTTTTAATTTTCAGAGAACTCAATGCAGTTCATACCCAAAAGAGGACTAAGAAATTACAAGGAATTTGGGCACATCTGTGGTCTTCCTCTGTCCTCAGCAGACAGCAGCAACCCCATGTCACTATCAGAGTCGGAATATTGGAAGCAGACAGGCGTCCATTCTCAATTATTTCTCAGGCTTTCAAAGGTGATGTTAGAGGAAACTTGCCCTTCCACCTTTGCTTTCTGACTTAAGTTCATTATACACATACCCGTAATCACTTGTCTTTTCCAAAATTACAAATTTCTGCTAAGTTTCTCTTATTTTGTTTTACTCGGTTTTCTTGTCCATTTTTAATCAACTCTCCAACTGCTGAGGTTGGAGTCAGTTCCATAGAAGGGCAAGGCTAGTGAGCATCTCAAGGTGAGACCCCAGGAAAAACGAAAGAATGATTAAGTATGGAAGTGAACATGAACTCATTTATTTGAAAAGAGGTCTGAATGAATTAAATACATTGCTCTTTGCTTAAGGCCACAACTGAGTAAAAGACGAAAGTAAAGGCCTCTGAGGTCACTTTCAAAAAGTGTCATTATTTTTAAGTTGTGCCTTCCACTCTAGGTCCCTGTTTTAAAATAATTATTTTTAGGGGCGCCTGGGTGTCTCATTCAGTTGAGCTTCTGCCTTCAGCTCAGGTCATGATCTCAGGGTCCTGGGATGGAGCCCCACATCAGGCTCCCTGCTCAGCGGGGAGTCTGATTCTCCCTCTGCCTGATGCCCCCACCCCCACGGCCCCTGCTCACGCTCGTTCTCTCTCTCTCAAATAAATTTAAAAAAAAATCTTAAAAATAAATAGTCATCTTTAAGATTGCTTCTAATCTTATATCTTGTAATTCCATGAATCTATGATGTACTACTTTGAGATCCTGTTTTGGTATATTAACAATATCTGGAATGTGCTTTCAGCTAACAAAAATATATATTTTTTAAGAGCTTGGTAGAGCATCATACGCCGTTATAAGTTTACTTTATATTCTGTAAAGTAAAACATGGATTTTTAAGTCATAGTTAAACCTGGGCATTTCCTTTATTGAATGGTTTTGAAAGAAGCTACTTCATTCTTTCTGCAAAGCTGGCTTCTCCTAACAGAGAGAGTTCCTGCTAGGCTGATAAACTATTGAAGACAATAATGTAATCTGTAGGACAGGAAAGTTTGGAAATATCAAAATGTCAGCATGGAGATTCTTGCACCAAATGGAACATTGACCTCATGATGTCTACAAACCTTAACACCTTAAAATCCTACATACCTGGCCCTGGGTTTCCGTGTCAGGCAGGCTGCATCATAATTACCTGGAGAGATTTTAAAAATACATGCTAGCCTCCACCTAGAGAGATTCTTATACTGTAGGGTGGAGTCTGGTAATGTGTTTTTTTCTCTCAAGTGTCCAAGGTGGTTTGATGTTCCAGATTTTGGAATCCCTGCCCAAACATAAGTTCCTGGTATTTCAAAATATCTTATATTTCAGGATGCATGTTTCTCAGAATCAGAAAACTTTATCAGTCTGAGTTCAGTGCAGATGATAAAAACCACCATAGGTATTTTGATCAAAAAAGGCTGTAATACAGGAAATCAGGTCTTAGACCATTATTGGAAGGACTGACAGAATGTATTCAAAGTTGGGTCTCCAGGAATAATTTGAGAACCAAAAGGAATCGACCCACTGTGGGAACCGAGAATATCGACTGAAATCACCCACTGCTGTTAGTGACTGTGCTGTCTCTGCTTCAACCACCTCTAGACTTTCTAGAAGCTGGAAAATAGGTGCCCAGGGCTGCAACCCAGGGAATAGGAAGCCTCATCAAGGGGCACCAATAACTTCTTACCCTTCAAGCTAGAGATGGATGTGGATGCTGGCAAAGGCGCACAAACCTCGTGATTTCACGGTTTTGCGGGAGAGTACAAACCGGAGAAGGGCAATGTAAATAAGGATGACCCCGCCTTATTTCTGCTTTCCAAATCTTGACCAAGTACATCTATTAGACTGATCCTGTCACACCTAGCAACCTAGCTGAAAGGGGTTTGGAAAATGTGGCTTTAGCTTTCCAACCTCTCGGATTGCAAGAAGGAAGGTAGAGGGCAGGCTGAGGGGGCCCATCTCTGATATGCAGCACGTCAGAACACATGGCCTGTACGAAGGCATTTCCATCAAGTAGAGCAAAGTCACTTGTCTGACCATCGTGCAGAATACAAACAGGAGGGTGTCAGGAGACATGGAAGGGAACTTGGGATTTGACTCTTAATCACTGAACGGTGAATAATAAGAAGAAGGTAGCGGGAGGGGAAGAATGAAGCGGGGGAAATCGGAGGGGTAGAGGAACCATGAGAGATGATGGACTCTGAAAAACA